GTAGAGTTGTGATGGCGTCGAGTAGTTTCTCCCTCTAGTCGGTAGCATAGTTGTGTATCAGAGGAGTGCTTGTCAATGGTGGAACTGCTTGTAGTTGTATCTTGTATCCTCTGCGTAGTATCTGGGATACGTAGTTGTGAATTCCCCAATTCTCCCAGTAGTGTTGTAGACATCCACCCACTGTCGAAGGTTGTATGGGAACGGCTCCAGTCGTTCCGAACCCGTCCATCAACGTCTAGCATTCCTGGCACCTCTGAATCCTCTGCCACTTCCGGGGTTACCTCTGGAAGCTCCGGTTGGGCAAAGAAAAGAATCCTTGCCTCCTCTGGAAGTGCCGTATTTCTTCTCTCTAGCTCTCTGTATCCCCGCAAACTTCGATTTGCCAGAGTAGCGCTGAGATGTCTGTCGGATAACAATGGCCATAGACTGCTTGGTAACTTCTTTGGCCAAGTCCTCAATTTCCCCTGCAAAGATAGCTGATGCTGACCATGGAGCTCTGTACAAAGTCTTGGTGAACTTCTCACTCCAATTACAGGAAGATAGTAGCCCTTGTCTTCTCAGTAGCATCAACCCTGCTGATGTAGATGCCAGATGCTCCGATATAAACTGTTGGTCTTTCTTCTTGGCCAGCAATGCCGACTAGATCATACAATCTTCTATCAAGGTGGAGTTCCTAAACTTCGCAATGAGGGTTTCATTGATGGCTCTTGATCTGGCTAGACCAAAGAAGGTACGCCTGGTAGTTGTGTCTAGTTGTGCTAGCTTCTTATCGTCCACTTATAAGTCCTGGTACAGGCGTCGTTGATGATATTGTAGTTCTCTGGGGCCTTCATGAAGGGTTCCATATGGTGTTGAGAGAACTTCTTGGCGTTGAACGGTGGTATACTTTGACTCTCGAACTTCGTTGCCTTCCTGAAGGCTGTACTGAGGTTCTCTGGTACATTCAACACGGGATCTATGGGTGGAAGGGTGAGCGTATCAAATTCGTCGTTTGACATCATGTACGTGAATGCTTCATTATCCTCTTTAGAAGGTGATGCAAGCTCCAATCCATTAGCCATCCAAGACTTGATCTCTGTATCGGAGAATATGATTCCACCATCATCTTCAAATTTGGATGCATCTTGTTCTGAAGACAGTTGCCGATGTGCTTGCTCCCTAGTGGAGATCTACGTGGTGATCTACGTGGAGACATTCGCGAATACCTTCGTGGAGATGCGTGTGGAGACTGCGTGGTGACCTATATGTGCGTGAAGATCTGCGTGGAGATGAGCGTGAAGATCTTCCTGAAGACCTGCACAAAGGTGATCGATTCGTATAAAGATCCTCCCTGGAGTCTTGAGATGTATTCCTGAGTCTTCGTGAAGGTGAAGATTCTCTTCTGTGGGATGTGAAGTACCTTCGCGCAGGCCCGTGATGATTGTCCGAGTCTGAGGTCGAGGATGATCTGCGATGCTCCGGTGAACGTCTGGTTCTCCTTCGCGAATGCTCCTCTTCTACTGCAGGCTCATCGTTGTCCAGGTTGACAGGTTCTCGGGAAGTATTTGTGGATGACTGTCGAGTACGTGATCCTTCACGAATGTTCCCTTCTTCAAGACGTCTGACTGCGTTGATATGGCTGCTGACATCACTGTAGAAGAAGATCTCGGCTTCTTCCTAACTGTTACTTCAGGAATCGGGATGGGTGGAACATCGCTTCATCCGATGGGGTGATATCCGCGGCGAAGGACCTCGGCTTCTTTGCTACCCCAAGGGACGACTTCGATGAAGTCTTATCTGTAGACGATTTCTTCTTCAGAGCAGATGATGTCTTGGTCTTCTAAGACTGCGACGAGGGTCGTTGAGACGATGACAATCTCTTCCTGGACCTGGAGATGCCATCTGCCACAGTCAACAGCTCCGTAGAAACCACTGGCAAATCACTGGAATGGTGAATCGCAGCAGGCAACAATACACGGTTATCAACGCATTCACTCTGTTTAGACATGACTTGTAAAAGTCGTCTCGACCTGTCCTTGGCACGTCTAAGAACGTAATATTAATAATTAGTAAATTCACTTTCAGATAAATGCTGACAAAGTTTACAGCGGAGGCTGGAAGAACATGTAGAAGTGCAGTAAGGACATAATGAATGCGGATCAGCAGCCGATAAACAAAACCTGCAACGAATGCAAGATTTCATCAAATGTAAACAAGATGAAACATCATGTCAACAACTTGAATAAACGGAAAATTTGGTACAAATTTCAAACCATATTGCTGGTATATTCTTGCTAAAGGCCATATACAGCTAATTTAGTAGTCAAAGCCTAAAATAAAAGGACATAATGCCGTATAGGGGACCCAGGCGCTCTCACACCCGTCCTCTAGGGCGAAGAAGGAGAGAGTGAAGAGCATGTCTGATCATGTGACAGGTTTTGGCGCCAAAGGGCAAAGGGAGGCTACTCGTGGGGTGAGTGATTTTACGTCCGCTTTTTTGAAGGGAGCTTCAAAAGGGGATTCAAGTGTTCCCCTATAGTTTGCAAGAGGAAGGAGACAAGCAATTAAGCATGAGTCAGGATAAGGAAAAATAAAGAATTTCTATTCCATTAACAGAATAATTTATATGTCAAGCAGTTATTCTAACAGAGATCTTATATATTGCTATCGTATAAGTAAAATGCATGTTTTTTACGAACATATTTTTTTTACATAATAATGAGCATTGCTAAGCACTTTGGGTTACCTGGCTTGATACATTTTACGTAGGAGACAGTTTGACAAGTCACCGCTGACTTCCCATGGTACTTGCCACATTGATTGCAAAAACAAAATGTTGGCAATTAATGGTCAAATATGACTTCAATGAGTCAATAACGCGAGTCTTCGGGTCAATGGATGACAAGGCTGTAATCTGTTCGTTATTGCTGAGAAAAATGTGAAATTGGTGCTATCGCGGTAGGCGCAAAAAACGGACCCTCACGAATGTGCAAAGCGGACGTTGTATGGAATGAGGTAATGCCATTTCACACACGGTTTCATTTCACTCTGTTGTTATTGTAAACAGTATTTAAATGAATGAAAATGGGATTGAATTTAATCAAATAAAATGAGTTTTCTGACACACATGTACAGTGAGACCCCAGATACCCGGACCCAAAATGTCCGGAAACCTCGCCTTCCGGTCAATTTTCATAAAAAAACAATCTCTTACGTTATAAAAGTGACTGTCTAAAACAGATATGCGGTTTCCGTTGCTGGACGGTAAATCGATGGGAAAGGCCCACCCCAATATCTTTTTAAATAATCAAATTTCTTACTAAGGAGCAGATTCACGCTGAAGTTTGCCTGTTGCACATTGGCGGTGGAAAAAACGTCCACTTAAGAAAAAGAAATACGTACATGGACTTGCAACGTCGCCTGGATGTCCTAAGACATGATTTTAGGAGTGGACAAATCATCACCAGAGAGTATGCAGATGCTGCATCTCACCAACTTCATACCTGCCAACTCGCACACCCTTAGCTTGAGACTCACGCTTTTGTTACTCATGTCACCCTCTCACAACAAAACTGATGTCTTTAGCATGTACATTTTGATCCTTTAAGATCACCCAAATACGTTTGAATACATTGTGTTCATTCTTTTCTGAGAAGCAAATTTGCAATTAGACATTGCGTTTGCGCCCTGAATCCCAATCCTGGTTCCACCCTGGACCCGACTGGGGTCAGCGCCCCTTGGACCCTGGCATCCCAAGCCTTTTTCTCTTTTGGGGTTGGAAGCTCTGTCCTAATATAGTTTGGGGATAGTCTGGGGCCATGGAGTCCATGTTGAATAATGACATTTAGCGTTGTTTCGCTAAATGGGTTTATGGGCAGCATTTACAGTTCAGCACATAACTTTAAACTCTAGCACTTGCCTTGGCTTATAGTATCCATCCAGCGTAGCAGTACAGGAGGCGGTGTATTATTTCAGCATTTATTAATAGCAGCAGTAGGGCATTTAGAAGTAAATTGGTAAACATGTTCATAGCCAGTATTTACAATCCTTGTGCACAACTTTAAACCCTAGCACTCGCTTTCGCTTAAAGGAACTAACCAGCACAGCAACGCACATGGCAGTGTTGTTCTTCCGCATCCCATAATAGCAGTTACGTCACTTCCGGAGTTACGTCACATCCGCAAGCATACGTCATATCCTTCCTCTCTATCCTTCATGCTCTCAAGTCTTACATTTTGCCTCTGCTAAATAATTCCCACCCACCCGTCCCTTCAGAGGGCAATACCGTGTTTGGGGGGAGGGGGGTGCGGAGGTTGGTAATTTTTTACTTTTAAGTCACCATTGTACAGAACAGACACAAGCTGTACCAAGATCCAACTTCTTAATAAAATAGGTGCGGTGGGTATGGTGCCGACGGGACTAAGCAGCAGCGCTGCTAAAACTAGGGATACTTGGCATCTGCTTTTACAGCGGCAGCCCAAACCTTCCTGCCTGCTGTCTCTGCAGGAGGAAGTACCAAAGTTTCCCATGCTTTACCTGTGTGCTTTGCCACGGCGGAGGGCCGCAATTAGCTATCATACGCATTCGGTCCCGTCGGCGCCATCCACACTGTGCTCTTTGTCATCCACACGTCTGTCTTGTTTAGTCTGTTCACTGGATTCCTTTATGCTTATCTATTTCCGACCATATCATAATATCAATGGGAAGGTCTGCATATAATGAACAATGATAATAATTCTTAGTATGCTACATCCAACACTTGAGGTTAAGGCCTGCCAATCCTTCCAGAAACCTTCCTTAAGCTGTCAAAGGAGAAATTATGAGGTTCCCATGTCACGTCAGGGGAGATAACTCCTCTGAATAGCACTTGGGGAGAAAGTCAAAACAAAACAATGGTCTTGAAAACTATATTCAAGCTAAACCTTGTGGATTCAAAGTTTCAGGGGAATCAAGTGTTAGAGGTACTATTCTAAGAATTATTGACAAATTCCAGCTTACATTTTGAAGTGTTGATTTTGTAGGAAAGCAGTATCTGCAATTCCAGTTGTGAGTTTTTCTACCAGGCAAAAGCAGAAGTGAAGGAAAACATGACTGGTGAGTAGAGAAGTATTTTTCTTATGCACAGTCCTGGTGTGATAGTTCCTAAGAATGCAAAGTTTATATTACATCAGTAAAGAAAACTAGAGAGTCATCTGTCATCAAACTGTGAACAAATCTATGAATTTTAAATTTTCCATTTCACTTTTGTCTTTTCATATCTCTAGTACTATCAATATATCCCATGCTAGGTCTCTCAAGCTTGCTCTGACATGCAGTCATCACTTTTCCTGTGTGTGAGTTGTCATCAGCACAAACAATTCTCACAAATACGTCCCTCTAACATTTTATTGCATTTTTTCCTGAAAGTGGTTTACATGTTTACTTGAATAATAATGTTTCAAGTCCAAAAATCGAGTTGTCTCTCTTAATGGTTCTCCACGAAATGCCATCCACAAAAGTTATCTCCCCTGGGCTATATAGAGGATATTTCACATGTCGAGTTAATTGTGATGTATCTGACAAGTGATGTGAAAATAGGAATTTCTTCATGTCGAGATGACAGATACATCATATTTCACTGGAAATGACATATTTTATTTATTATATGTGTCATATTTTTTTAGATTGTCATTTTCCTCAGATATTGGAGTATGACTGGTGTTCAGGTCCATAGACCACTGCTTGAAATAACATAACTGGTCCTTGACCAGGTTACATGAATTTAGTTGTCCACCAGGCTGGGCTGACTTGGGAATAATGACAATGTTGCACTTCCTTCCTGTCTTGGGTGTTGTCGTCTCCTTCTACCATTCTCATCCCTATTAGGTTATGTGGTGTGGATTCTAAACTCTGCTGACATGCAATGAACAGTGGAGCTCACATGAACTGGCGCATGTCTGACATCCAACATATTTGCTTACCACTGCAGGAATCAGAAGTTTGAATATTAAGAGAAGCATTGGTTTCCGTCTGGAATGGCCAGGTTATGGCATGCACCACCTTGTCAACATGCAGGAGGACCTACACAAAGTTTCACCCAGTGTCTCTGGATGCAGAGACAACTGTTTCTGTTTCAAATTTCATAAAAATGGAGTCTAATGCAGATAAAATACTGGATGTGATCTTTTATGGAAGAAAACAATTCAAGCTTTATCCAAGCCCCAGCAAATCCATAAGTGAACATCAATGATATTACCTTAAAAGCCCAGCTAACACCACCACTAATTATATTTACAAGAATGGTACAACATGGTATGGAGCAGAGTCAGTACAACTAAACCTGCTAATCCTAACTGAAACAGCACTAATCAAGTGGACAAATTACACTGGGCTAAATCACAATGAGCCTAAATTAAAGTGTTTGATTAATGTACATGTCATTCTGGTATAGGTGATGACATGTCATTCTGGTATAGGTGATGACATGTCATTCTGGTATAGGTGATGACATGTCATTCTGGTATAGGTGATGACATGTCATTCTGGTATAGGTGATGACATGTCATTCTGGTATAGGTGATGGCATGTTTACTTATATTTGATTCATTATGGTTAGTTTACTCAAATATGGTTCATTTTGATTATTTCTGCTGTTTATTACATTGCTCAACAACCAGTTACCAACTTACATCAGCCTAGTCACAAATCCTTTAGCGTACACAGTGGACGTGATGTCGACATGGGAAGGCATGATTGCATAATGCTTTTCCCACATGCAGTGCTAATCCCACAAGTCATAGCTAAGATTAGGAATCATCAGATGACACTGTATCTAGTGGCTTGTTTCTTGGTTCCCCTCTCCGTGCTGGTGGATCAACCTATTTGTCTGCCCCTTTGGCCAACACTTCTCAGACAACCGAAACTTGACAGATTCCCTCAACTCCTTGAACAACTCCACTTACACTTTTGGAAACTGTCCAGGGACACCTTGCATGAGCAGGCTTTTCACAAGAGGTTTTCTCAGCTGTTACACTATCAGTCTGAGCTTCAACATCTGCCTTGTATGACTTTAAGTGGAACCAATTCTAGCAGTGGCGAGTCAGATCCTGAACAGCTATTGACACCAATGGCACCATAGAAGATATCATTCAGCTTTGGCATCAAGGGATTCACATTGGGAAGGACCCAATTAGTCCAGTAGAATTAGTGGAAAAAATCACTGAACCTCCAAAGAAATGGTACAGAAATGGTTTTGTGTTTATATCTTTTACAATAGTTATGTAAACAATATATAAAAGTCCTCCCTTGGATGTTGATGCTAAGTGGCTTCTTTGGGGCAAAAACTATGAAAACTGGTATTTTTCAATTATTATCTTTTTATCTGAAAATAAGTCCAGAAAATGTTATAAAATCTTGCAAAAAATACAACTGAAGTGTACAAAATAGTAAATAATGAAAATTAAAACTGAAAAAAGTTTATGACATGAGGTTTGAACTTGAATTTTGGACACTCCAGCACACTGGAAACAAGTAAATGAGGGTTATCTTCCCTTTGTTATCCCCCACAACAAGTTCGACTTAGAATGAAATTAGTGGTAGTGCTCTTTTCCAGGGCAGAACTCTAAAACCGTTCAATATTTCTTCACCAAACTTGGCATATAGATAGATCTGGTGTTGTACTGGTGCCTTTTGGTAGTTTTGGAATTGTGAATAAAATATTTTTGGCGTTTCCGTGGCAACAAGTTTGACTTAGCCTGAAATTGGTGGTAGTGCTCTTTTCCGGAGCTGAACTCTAAAATCGTTCACTATTTCTTCACCAAACTTGGCACATAGATTGGTCTGGTGGTGTACTGGTGCCTATTGGTAGTTTTGGATTTCTGAATACGATATTTTTGGCATTTCCATGGCAATTAGTTTGACACAGACTGAAATTGGTGATAGTGCTCCTTTTTGGAGCAGAACTTTAGAAACCTTTCAATACTCTCCTTCCACTTTTCTATATACACACCTAAATATTTGACATAATCATAACTCGTAGACATAATCATGAAGAGTATTTTGCCATTGCGGGGGATATTGATGACTTTGTCTTCTTGTATACAATAGATTGAAGTAGCAGAATGGAAAGGAAAGGTTATATCTTTTATAAAACTCTAACTAGACGAGGCTATAGTTAGCCAAATAGATAAAGGATTAAAAAGACAGCTAAAAGCTACAATTAAAAGAGACGAGGAGGAGGACTGAGGTGATTCTGCTCCCATAATAAGCCCCAGAACTGTATGCACTGCGGTCATGTAAGACTACGCACCTTGGTGATAAATGGGACATTCTGTATCAAGATTTAACAGAACTTGAAGAAACATATGCCAGAATAATAGATTAGGAAAATATGATACCATTTATATTTTCTATGCTATTAATTTTTAAACAATTTCAAAAGGTGATTGAAGGATAAGTTTGTTCTATTTTAACTTTAACTGGCAACTACATACTATTATGAGAGCAGAGTGAGTGAGTATGTTTTTACACCGCTTTTAGCAATATTCCAGCAATATCACGGCAGGGGACAATAGAAATGGGCTTCACACATTTGTACCCATGTGGGGAATCGAACCCGGGTCTTCGGCATGACGAGCAAAAGCTTTAACCACTAGGCTACCCCACCACACACACACCCTTATGTGAGCAGAATTGAGTGAACCCTTGCAAATATTTATAGTATAACTGGTATTGGTTTTTATCTGATTTGAAATCTCATGACACGTGTCAACCAAGTCAGCGAGCCTGACCACCCGATCCCATTAGTCGCCTCTTACGACAAGCATGGGTTACTGAAGATCAATTCTAAATTGGATCTTCATGGGTGCTGGGCTACTTGATCAAAGCTCTAGAAAGGTTTTGAAAGCACAACCAGTGTTGTCCTTTTTACTGCTAGTAAAAAAATTGATAACATTGGGTTTTTTTAAACTGAAATAACTAATTGACAAATACATTAAGTATTTCAAATACTTAAATAGTAGGTGGTGCATGCTTGTTTATCAACCATCTGTCATGAAATCATGTACAATTCGAAATACCGGTAAGTGAAAAACTATTCCAAGCATCGTTGAATCAAATCACCTCACCCAACCACATCTCAAATATTCAAGTTAGCCTGAACACAACTTTCAAATTATTAGATTTCCTTTACTCAGAATATCTTCTGTTAGTGTTAAGTTTTGCTTTGAATAGCATTGCCACCAAGCAAAATTAATTCAAATATGCAAACTATGAGACCAAGGCTATCTCTGTAACCCTCTGAAAAGCCCTTGGTGTTCAGGGTCACCATCACTACAGTTCAAGCCAACCGATATGTTAATTAATATCTTGTTCATTATTACAATCTCTAGTTACAGAAGAAGGAGCTAAGTGCAACGCTTCCGAAAATGGGTGTAAACAGGGTCAGTTCATTCAGTTTGGAACAGATAATGTAGATCAATCCCAGAACATGGATTAACGTATACCGATGACATTTTTGCCAATTAGGTGACTGTTTGCCAAAAAGGCTGAGGTGTTGATGCGCTAAAAGGGATGGGGGTTCATATGTCCTTGGTACATATGTTATGGAGATGCTGAATCAAATTGCTTGATGTCTTGAACAATTCATGTAGCATATAAAATGAATCACAAGACTATATCATTCTCAGTATTGAGTTATGTCACCTTCGTGCCTATGTTCAACCTGAATCCCAGGCTCAAAGCTGTATTAGCTCAACTTTGGTCAAGACAAAGACGTACAATGTTGATACACATTTCGACAGTCTTAAGCAATAAATACACCCTTCTTTTAGTAAACCTAAACCTAATGTCATGGACAAATCCCTGGAGAGCAAACGCACCACTTAGTTTCTTAATTGAACTCCTACTGGCTTTGGATATAGCCGTTGCAAGTATACTACCATCGACAAAGTCAAACGTATTGCCAAGGAAACAATAAATACACATTTCAACATCTTAAAATAGCACAGGGCTCAAGTTCATAACTTGATCTTTCTCTCTGTTCAAAGTTTATGAATGAATATGTGTTAGTTTCAGAGATATAATAGCTTCTCCATATTGGTAGAGGATAGTTCCCT